TAAGAATAAGATCAAGGTTCAAGGTTCTTTATTTTTGTCATTCAAACATGTGAGAGAAACACATGACCAGAACGAAATGGCTCCCGAGGGCCCAGTATACAGAAAGAAAAAAAAAATATAATAATAAGCCATGTTAAAAACTAAATACATTAAAACCAACATTTAAGCAGTTCCAATGAACAAGTAGTAAACGTGGAAGACAGAGAAAGAGGCAACCAAAGCAGGAAGTCAGTGTGCACTGTTCAAAAGTCTGACAGCCTCAGGAAAAGAAGCTGAACTTCAGCCGAGATGTTCTGGCTTTAATGCTCCTCAGTCTCCTCCCAGAAGGCAGAGGAACAAACAGATGGTGGGAGGGGTGCGAGGCTCCCCCATGATCCTGGAGGCCCGTCTTCTACAACGCTCCTCGTAAATTTCACTGATGGGTGTAAAGTCACACCCAGTGGTCTTCTCTGCCGCTCTGACCACACGCTGTAGAGCTTTCCTGTCCTGGGCTGAGCAGTGGCCGTTCCACACTGTGATGGCCTGTGTCAACACACTTTCCACTCCACATCGATAAAAAGACATGAGAGCAGGGAGCCTAGTCCAGCAGGCTTGAGTCTCCTCAAAAAATACAGACGCTGTGGCCTTCTACAATGCTCTCTGCATTAGTGGACCAAGTTAGTCTGTCGGTGATGTGCTGACCCAGATACTTCCAGCCGGACGCCCTTTCAACTTCTGTGCCCATGATGTAGAGAGGCGACAGTGAACAGCTGCTCCTCCTAAAATCCACTATTAATTCTTTGTTTTTGAAGTCAGACAGAGTTGTTCTCTCTGCACCAGGTCTCAACAGCTGTACCTCCTGTCTGTATGCCTGCTCGTTGTTTTCCGAGATTAAACCACAACAGCAGTGTCATCTGCAAATTTAACAATCTGAAGGTCGGGTGAGAAGCCACACAGTCATATGTTAGCAGAGGAACAGCAGGGGCTCAGGACACAGCTTGGGGGGTCGGTGTTGAGAGTGGTTGGGGAGAAGCAGCCATTAACCTAACGTCTGCCCCGTTAGTAGAAAGTCCAGCACCAGTTGCAAGTGATGTTGGAGTCCAAGCAATTGCAGTTTGTTTATCAGGGTCTGTGGATGATGGTATTGAATGCCGAACTAAAGTCCAGGAAGAGAAGTCGGACATATGTGTCCCGCTTCTCTAGGTGGGTGAGGGCCTGATGGACAACAGCCGCCACTGCGTCAATGTAGACCGATTCTCCCTGTATGCATACGATGAGAATCCACACTGATGTCAATTATGCCCTTTATATGTTCATCACTAGCCTTTCCAGACATTTCATGACTATAGATGTTAATGCCACGACGATATCATTCAAACAGTTCACAGTGTCCAGTCTTTGGAACAGGGATAACAGTGGCTTTTTTAGACATGATGTACTAGGCTCTGCGAGAGTGAGATGTTAAAGATATCAGTCAAACAGGAGTCAACTGTATGCTGATCCTCAGACCCGACCAGGGATGCGTCAGGTCCAGCTGCCTTCCGTGGCAATCCTCACAGTGTCTTCCTCACCTCTTCAGCGCTCACTCTGAGTGGACAGGCACCTTGATGTGATAGCGAAGCTGGTCAGGGGGAGGCGTTAGTGTCTTCAAAGCGGGCTAAAAAGAATTCAAGGCATCAGGTAAGGAGGGATCAAGTGAGGAGACGCCCTCCTTCTGAGTTGTATTCAGGATAGTCTTAATTCCTTTCCTTTTCAAGATAAAGAGTAAAGAGCAAGAATAATGCAGCAGTGGCAATCTGTTACACAGGGAAAAATAAATTAGCTTCAAGTAGCGACCAGCACCCCAGATATACAACAAAAGAGCATTTACCGCAAATTTAGAAGGGGCAGGGGGTCACTCTACATGGGGCTCGGAGCGCGCTACGAGCGGCCGCCGGCACCACCGCCTACTCCAGACAACCTTTAAAATGTAGTCAGGCACATCGCATTAAAGCAAATTCTATAAGAAATATTAAAACATCAACTCCGGTACTTAAACGCGCTGCCTTCAAAAGCCACCGAAAGCCCCGACTGCCACACCACAGCGTGCGCAGCCTTTTCTAATCGCGTAATCAGTGACGCCGGGAGCCACGCACAGCGACGCACAGGTGGACGCACTCACGGACGCACTCACGGACGCAACACAGTAGGACAACATAGTCTAATTACCCGGTTACACATGGAAAAAAAATTATTTCCCAAATTTCAAAGACCTACAAATCATGTAAATAAATGGATGTATTTGATCATATCTTGTGTTATTCCATCTTTAAACTGTTGATGAAGGGACAGGATTTTTCAAAAAAAAAAAAGTATTTAAAATGATAAAAATGTTCTTCGAAGGACTGACATATTTATAGAAATAGTTTCTTCATTTTGAAGTAATATTAAAGTATTCAGAAGAAAAAGCGACAAATGATGTAAATCCTGCACCTTACTTGTTTGTACAATTGTCCCTCCGTTACTTTTCCCTCTTTACCATGACCTTTCTATATATATATAATAAAAAATCTCATGAGTCAAAAAGTCAGAGGTTTTTCAACCTAATCTTTACCATATGGTTAGAAAACTATATGAAGCAAATATTCAAACCCAGTTTGTTAAGGATATGGAAGTGAGAACCAAGATTATCACTGTTTGGATTTATTGCCCAAAAAGTGCTGCATATTTCATTCCCTCCGTTACCGACATGAGTTTTTTTATTTTTTTGACAACAACTTGAAAGAATATCACAGGTTTAACTTGACCCTGTTGGAGTGTAACTCTTTCCTACTTTCTGATACTTTACTTATTTCAATAGTTCCTCTAGTTTCTGAATAAGAGACATTTGAATGTCAAAAATCTGACCCTGTTTCCCTCCGTTACCACTTGACTGGACCCACATGTTAAATACTGTTATTTGTAAACACAGATCCCGAATTTTGGATTTCCGGTCATGGTGCAGTTCATACTGGGAAGGATTTTCCGAAAAAGTGAGCGTCAAACCTCCATGTTTGTTTTCCCAGTGGGATGTGTCTATTGACAAAGTCGATCTTTTCAAGTCTTTTGAACCATATCACTTTTGTTTCTGATTCTGATATTGTCATGTTTTAGTTTTGGGATTCGGACATTGTAATTGTGTGGTTGTTGGATCCAAACAGCGGAAAACGACTCGAAAAATTTGTTTGTGAACTCCATAAATGCAAAAGTGAATCAGATGTGTGGGACTCAAACCTCCGTTCAAACTGTTTCTCTTCCCAACAGAATTGAAAAACAGTGAAAGGTGAAGGTGATGGGCAGTGTTAGTAACAGACACATCCCACTGGGAAATCAAACATGGAGGTTTGATGCTCATTTTTTCAGAGGGCCCTTCCCAGATTGGATTGTGCAATGACCGGACGTCCAACATTCGGGATGCATGTATTGGAAAAGTTAAAACCAGTTGGCGTGTTGAACCAAAACTGCACCGAGAACTAAACTGACTCTTTTATTTTTATTTGTGGTTTATATGTGAAGCTCTTTTACAAATGCACTATCAATATTTGAGTTTGCGCTTTTATTTAAATGACGTTTTATGCACTTTGTCATTGAATTTATGGGTGAATTCATAGGTAAACTTTTGTTAGAAATAATTAAATTAAAAAAACCAACAACACATGGAATAATTTAGTTTGAAAAGCCTTAAAAAAGGGTGAACAGATCATTTGGTTTTACGTGATGCTGTGGTGTATTTCACTTTGAATTCATTGAAGGAGTCAATGTGACAAAACGACGTCACTGATTTAGAACATTTGATGAGATCTCATTTTATTTAGAAACTACTGTTGAAAGGTATTTTATTCATTGTCCTGTTCTCTGTGTGCAGACTGTTTTTTAGTGATCTTGGAGGGCAGTGCTGACGCTGATGCCGAGTCAGACCCAGAGAGAACTCTTTAAGAGTCTTGGAGCAGTGTGACCAGCTGCTCGGGTTTTGAGAAAAGATCTTCAGACCTGACCAGCGGCTCTGTGGGCTGCACCTGTCACATTTGGTCTTGAGGTGTGCAGAGGTCAGTTCCAGGGCTGCAGACTTCGCTGTATCGTTGGACGATGGTGATGACGAGTTCGAGACGTCATCGTTTTCCAAAAGCTGCAGTTTGTTTGTTCACACGTCAACACAACGCCGACGTTCTCAGGTTTCTCCACTCTGGAACTGTTCTCAAAAAACACTGAGTGTCTATAGATGCACATCAGTGTCCTGGGTATGATCGGGTTTTTTGAGTGTCCCGGTTTCTTCATGGTGCATGTAAACACAGTATTCCGGTTTCAGTGTCCTGGTTATTAGAAACCGGGACACTGTAGCTGGAATATTCCGATAGTAACCAGAATACTGTGGCATGTAAACACAGTATTCCGGTTACTACTACATTAGGTTGAGTGCACATGTGTCCAAAAGACACTTTCCAGTCTTTTCATCACAACAGCAGCGACATAAATAAAGTGACCAACACAAGTGAATTGAGTGTAAAATTAAGAGCTGCGCTAAACCTGCACTCGTACAATCTGCACTCGTGTGATCACTGAAAAGCTAAAACATGAAATATCTCCAACGATATAAACACAGAACACACTCACCATCATCAGCACCTCTTCTGTCATAAAAAGAACACAAATATCTCACTGAGTCGTGTCCTTTAGTCCAAAAGAAGCTGATCACATCAGCGACACAAGGAGCGAACTGTCTTTATCAGCGCAACAGTTTATGTAAATGAACCATGCTGTTTTAAGTTTTGTTTTTGTAAAACATAAACAAATGTGTCAGAGCTGAATGATCTGATCAAACGGGCTGATGTGTTTATAGTTTAGATGTTGTAAAGTTGAGTTTATTTATGCAGAAGATTTGAATGAAGAATGTGTTGGTTTGATGTGTGCAGTGGATTGTGGGATTCTCACAGCTCCTCACGCTGGTTAAACCTCTCGAGCTTCCGATGCTAAAGCAGCTCAAGGTTTGTATTTTTCCTGGTTTATTAAATTGATTTAAGTTCATTTTTGCACTTGTGCATTTGTAAGATTATGTCAAGAAACCGGGACACAACATTTGATCATGTGACAGTGACATGAGTGTCCCGGTTCGTCAGTGCACGTGTAAACACAGTGTCCCGAACACTGACAGAACCGGGACATGAAGAATAACGGGACACTGATGTACATGTGACGCACTCACTGTTTTCACCCGAAACGCCGACTCTGTGCGGACAAAAGGCCAAAATGAATTAAAAATTCACTGTTTTGACCAAAAAATGTGAGGCTGCTTTACAAAAAATGTCATAAAAAAACCTAAACTCTAAAATATAAAAGAATGAACAAAAAAACCCAAAAATGCAGCTTTAATCCATTAACACTTGACTTTTTGCTGTGTACGAGCGCGTGCCTTCACCTGCATGGACATGTTTGTTTACATCGTCAATTAATCGACCAAATTCCGTTTTCCAGACACAGCATCGGTGATTCGAGACGCCGTCCTCCGCTGGACAAACAGAGACACATATTTTTGTGTCTGCGTGAAGATGTGGTGTTACTGAAACTGTTTGGTTCAAGGTGTAATACAGAGATTAAACACAAGAGGACCCAGGACTGAACCCTGCGGACCTCCATACACGCTTTGATATTTGTCAGAACTGTTTTCTCTCTGTTTTCACTAAAGTCCGACCTGAACCGGCTCCAAACAGAGGACGAAAAACAAAAGCAACGCTCCAGTCAGTGGAATAAAACCGAGAGATGGAACTCTGCCGTCAAGTCAAGCAGAATCTAAATCCATTTGAACATCGTGAAGAATTTCAACCAGAGCCGTCGACTGTGATCGTCTCCACGTCCTGAAAGGGATCGAGAGGATTATTTAGAGTCATTTACAGGTTGATTTGTGTAAAAACAACTTTTAATGATTGACAGGAGATTTGATTTTGGTTTATAATAACAGATTTTATTTAATTACATGAATCAGATACAGACACTTTAAAAGCTTTTCAAAGTCAATTTTGCATAATACCTCTCCTTTAATGTAAGTGTTTTGTTGTTAATGTTGTGCATTGCTGCTTTTTGTTTTTATTCTAATCTCTTTCTTGAAAAAAATCAAATAATTTAAAAAATGTTGACTGAAAATCTTTGGCTTGAGTTTCCTGTAAGTCAGTGCAGAAGGTCGACAGGTTTGTGTTTCCCATGCACCAGAAGAACTGGTCCACTGGATTGGCAGAGGTCTGGTTTGGGGCGAACACTGCAGAGTTGTTGAATTTGAAGTGGACTGGCAGACCCTGCTCTGTTTTAGGACATGGGACTCCAGCAGCCGTGAGGACCTCAAGAACTGGAGGCGTCTCAGCATCTACGAACGTCACCATAATTTTGATGTTGTTGACCAAATCTTTGTTCTGAGGTGAGAAGAGAGAGTTTAAAGCTTCCAGCTGGTGTGGAGGGAGCTGAGCCGAGGACTGGAGCACGACACACACTTCATGCATTTGTTTCTTCTCCAAATTATTGTAGGTGTGGAAGATCTGACTCATGATTTCTCTATCTTCCACACTGCCCCCAAACTCTGGAGTGTCGATGATGGTGAGTGAGAAGTCAACCTGGAATCCCTCCTGGTGGTTTATTTGATACACCACTGTGTCAGAAGTCTCATCATCATTTATTTTAAACCGAAACGGGTCGGTCCATCTGACTCCCAGGATGTAGTTGATCATGGCATTGATGAGACTGATCTTCCCAGATCCCACAGGTCCAAGAAGGATCATGAAACGATCTTCTTTATGACTTTCTTTTCCAAACACATATTTTTGGAAATTCGGCCCGCCGCACACTTCAGCCTCCTCTTCTTCTGCAGGGAGTTTGTAGATATCTGGTATTCCAGAATGAATCTTGATGCTCTTCCTCAAAAGCGTTCTGCTCGACTAAATGTGGCAGTGGTGAGTTCTGCTGCAGTGAATGTTTTGGTGGTGATGGTCACAGTGGAGCTTTCTGAGCTGGTTCTGTTCTCTCCATAGTCACAGAAGATCCTGAGGATGTACTCTGTCCGAGGCTTAAGTCCAGAGATCACCTTCTCCTCAGAATGGGACTCTTCTCTCCTCCACTGGAGTGTGTCTCCGGTCTCAGCGTACTCCACGATGTATCTGAGGATCTGGGCGCCTGGTCCCACCTGTGCAGGTCTCCTCCAGCGGGCGTAGATCTTTGAGGAGGTGGACATGGCGCTGGGGTCTTCTGGAGGGCCGCAGGGTAAGGTTTTCATGGAGGTGTGAGGAGCAGCTGGACCTACTCCCGCCTCAGTGACGGCTCTCACTGTGAAGCTGTACTCTGTGTTTGGGATCAGGCCTGTCACTGTGACCTCTCCAGCTTCAGCCTGGAGCTGCTGCTTCCACTGCTCCTGTCCTTTCTCACAGAACTCCACTCTGTATCCACAGACGTTCTCCGCTCCCACTGAGAGAGCTCTGACCTGCAGACTCACGCTGTGCGCTGTGGCTCTGCTCACAGTCACTGAGTCTGGTTTAGAAGGGAGCTCAAAGCTCTCACTGCTGAGGAACCCGTCTTCATAAAGATAGATGGTTGCTTCTTTGTGGTTTTCATCAGTCAAACCCACTGCCAGGAACCGAAGAGCCTTTGTGTCCTGGTCTTTGTTGGCGTCTGCAAAGTCACTAAACACCTTTGCTTTATGTCTCATTCGGTGGATCACATCTTTAGTCTTGTACCAGGGTGTGGGCTCTGCTCCAGACTCGTGGGTTTGAATCCCCTGTAGGTGGTTCTTCAGTTCTTCGAGGTACGGCTCTGCCCTCTCCAGAGACGTGAACACAAACACCAGGGCTTTCTCTGAGTCACTCACCTTCTCTACGAGGTCATTTTCAGAAGAGACGAATTCTGTGTTTCTCATCAGTTTTGTGAGGACTTTTATGGTGTTGGTCTCCTTAACGACCTCGTTCATCCACTGGTTCAAACGGTGAGAGCTGAATGGACTCTCTGCTGCCCTCTTCAGGACTTCTGCCAGAGCAGCCTCCTCCTCTCCTCCTCCTCTGATCGATGGAAGCTTCGTGGCCAGAGTTCCCTGGAGTCCCAGGAGGAACTCGGAGCACAAAGAGTTAAAGGTTTTGACTTTTTCAAAAAGGTGTGAGAAGTTCTGCCCTGCAGGACTCTTCAGGACATCATTACAGATCATGTCCAGCTCCCTGAAGTTCTCCAGGACGTTCTCTGTCTCACAGACTAACCTCAGACTGATGTGACGCACCAGTTTAGACGCTGCAGAGTCTAAGGCGCTGAGGGGCAGCAGGTGCACCCTCACAGGGACTGCGTTCTCACCTTTGGGGCCCAGAAGTTTGGGCAGGTCTTGATAAACTTTTACTGCTTCTTCAAATGTCGTTGGACTTTTGTCTAAACAGAAATCTCCGTGAAAAGTGCAGGAGAACTTGTTCACCTTTTCTCTGTCTCTGTCCTCCATTTTCAGATTCCCTTTTCCATCAATGGAGATCAGTGGAATTTTTTCAATCATCACCTTCAGGTTTCCCTGAATGTCTCGGACATTTTCATCTTCAGATGTTTCCTGGTCGAACACAAAGAAGGCCTGGGCTCCGTAGAGGATGGCTGTTACTACATGTGTGGCTAGACCTTTGTCAATGACCTCGTGGTGCTTTAAGTTGTCTTTGCTGAGCTGGTTCATGGTCAGTGTTTTAAACTCTGTTGTAGTTTTGTACTGCAGAGTGACTCGGGCCTGTCTTCTGGAACTTTTCTTATCGTTCAGATATTTTGCTGACCCTTGAACCTTCACAAGTCCACTCATAAAACTGGCTTTAAGTCCAGCCTCCACTCCGAGTGAAGAGGCCTTCTCAGAGAGGTGATCAGATGCCACGATCTGACACTGAGTGCTGGGTTTAGGAGTCACTCTCATGTCTTTGTCCAGCTTCTCCTGGTCCCAGAAAGTCAGGCCTGAAAAACAAGAGGTTTATTTGGATGAATAAATATAAAGTGATTCTAATAAAGACGAGATACATGTAGAATACCGTTCTCTTTCAGACGTACCTGGGACCAGTGTGTCAGATCTGCAGTCGTAAAACATGCCCAGGAGAAAAGACCGACCCAGAGCCGCCATCTCCACAGGTGAGTTACAGTCTGAAGCCATCTGAGCACAGGGAGAACATGCACGTTAGTATTTACTCTTTTTATAGAAGTGTCAACATTAACTGTTTTTTCTATATTTATGGCTATGGTACCCCTCCCCTTGAACCGTCACCTTATCGTGGTGGAGGGTTTGGTCACTCAAGGCAAACAGGTCCTGGGGGACGGGTCAGACGAAGAACAGTTCAGAACCCCCACATGATGAGTTCTAATCAGAGGCCGGTTACGTCGCCTGGATCGGCGTTACTGGGGCCCCACCCTGGAGCCAGGCCTGGGGTGGGTGCTCGAAGGCGAGCGTCTTGTGGCCGGGCCTTTAACCACGGGGCCCAGCCGGACACAGCTTGAACGAGCGACGTGGGGCCTCCCTTCCGTGGGCCCACCACCTGCAGGAGGATCCATATGAGACTGGTACAGAGATTGGGGCAGCAGTCGAAGGCGGGGCCCTCAATGACCAGATCTCCGGACATGGATACTGGCTCTGGGACATGGAATGTCACCTCGCTGGGGGAAGGAGCCTGAACTTGTGCGGGAGGTTGAGCGTTACCGACTAGATATAGTCGGCCTCACCTCCAGCACAGTTTGGGCTCTAGAACCCAACTCCTTGAGAGGGCTGGATTCTCCATTTCTCTGGCGTTGGCCGCGGGGAGCGGCGGCGGGCTGGTGTGGGCTCATTGCCCCACAGCTCAGCCACTGTGTGTTGGAGTTCACCCCGGTGAACGAGAGGGTCGCGTCCCTGTGCCTTCGGGTCGGGGACAGGTCTCTCACTGTGGTGTCGGCCTACGGGCCAAACAGCAGTGTAGAGTACTCGAGTACCCGGCCTTCTTGGAGTCCCTGGGAGGGGTACTAGACAGTGCACCGACCGGGGACTCCGTTGTTCTCCTGGGGGACTTCAACGCCCACGTGGGCAACGACAGTGACACTTGGAGAGGGGTGATTGGGAGGAACAGCCTCCCTGATCTGAACCCGAGTGGTGTTTTGTTATTGGACTTCTGTGCTAGTCACGGTTTGTCCATAACAAACACCATGTTCGAGCACAAGGGTGTCCATAAGTGCACGTGGCACCAGGACACCCTAGGCCGGAGGTCGATGATCGACTTTGTAGTCGTGTCATCTGATCTCCGACCGCGTGTCTTGGACACTCGGGTGAAGAGAGGGGCTGAGCTCTCAACCGATCACCACCTGGTTGTGAGTTGGGTTCGCTGGTGGAGGAGGAAGCCAGAAAGACCTGGCAGGCCCAAGCGTGTAGTGAGGGTCTGTTGGGAACGTCTGGCAGAGCCTCTGTCAGAGGGATTTTTACAAATCTGCACATCTCTCTAACACTTCAGTGTTTGACCTGGTGGGGGCGGTAATGAGTGAAGTTGTATCTGTGTTATTTTATCAGTACAATATGAGCTCAGAGTAAAGGTCGGGTTATAGTTCAGCGTCAGATCTCCACAGCTCCAGCGCACGTGAAGGTCAGAGAAGACGGACAGATGATCCAAAGAGCTTGGACCAGCTCCTGTTTGGAACACAAATGTTTGAAACGAAACCTAATATGATGATTTATATATTATGTATTTATTATAGATGATTTAATATCAGAGTGAATAAAAAACAAAAGTTCATTCTAATGAAACAGTTTGGATTCCCAGGACGCACCTGGACCCTGATCTGGATGAGTCTTTACTGAGGAACACTAGACAGGTGAGGAAGGCCATGAGCTGTTAATATTT